ACATGGACAGCTCATCTATGACAAATGAGCCAACCATATAAATGAATTAAAGAAATCCTCTTCAAAAACTAATGCTAAGAAAACTGGACAGTATTATGCAAAGAACAAATTGAGATCACAGTCTCACACCATTCACAAAAATCAGTTCAAAATGAATAAACTATTTGAACATAAGACCTGAAATTGTCAAATACCTAGAAGAAAACATAGGCAAAACCCTTCATGATATAAGCAGCAGGACATTTTGCAGATTTGTCCCTAGAGGAAGGGAAACAAATGAGAACTTACAAGAGACTACACAAAACTACACAAAAGGGTGTAGCCTTAGGAGACAGTTTTTGTTTGTTTGTTTGTTTGTTTTTTAGGGTTTTAGTGTAAGAGAAGTAACAGCAAAAAAAAAAAAAATCCAAAACAAACAAACAAAAAAATACCCCACTGGATAGGAACATATGCTTGCACACACTATACCTGAGAAGAAACTGATATTTAAAAAAAAAAAAAATTAAGAAGAAATCATTGAATTCAACAAAAAGAAAGCAAATGACCCAATTAAAAAAAAAAAGACAGAAGAATTAAGTAGGCATTTTTCCTAAGAAGACATAAAAATGACCTACAAGTGCATGAAAAATGTTCATCATCCCATGTAGTCTGAGAAATGCAAATCCAAACCACAATGAGATGCCTCCTCACACCTATGTCAATAGCCAATATCAAAAGACCAGAAACTATAAATGCTTGTGAGGATGTAAAGTAAAAGTATTGCAGGGCAGGGAGAGGGGCACCCCAGAACCCCCAAACTTGTCCACTCTAAATAGGTTTTGTCCTTTGTTGCATTAAGATAAAACATATAAGACCTTTAATGGAAAGGGACTTTAATAAATTAATGCATAATACAGACAAGACAAAGAATATTTTTAAATTTAGTACCCAAAGTAATTGATTTTTTTTGTGGGTAAAAGTCCAGCCAAACAGGATTGCCCAAAAGCCTGTCACAAGTTTAAAGCACCTTTGGCAGGGACCCATACAACAGGGTCAAAAAAGGTAGACAAGTCTGGGAGGAACAGAGCAAAATTAAATTTAAGATAAAAGCTGTCAGTGTTAACCTTTTTACAGGTCTCTCACCTATATCTGTTTTAACCAGTCTAGGACCAAGAAGGAAGCACAGATTTTTTTACTTTTTTTTTTTTTTCTGTATTTTTGGCTTTTTAAAGTCATCTTTTGACTTTCCATCTTGTTATTTTTTCACTACAATCTCCTCTCTAGATTTTTATTTTTCCTCTCTAGACTTTTCAATGTTGTTGTGCAGCTCCAACCTCCCTTGGGTCTGGCAGGGAAACTTCAACCTCCCCTTTTTTGGGGGGACCACCCTGTTGCATTGTTTTTTAATTTTTATTTTACCATATCTATGGTGGCACAGATTTCAGGGTGTAGCCTTAGGAGACAATTTTTTTTTTTAGGGTTTTAGTATATGTAAGAGAAGTAACAATTAGTCACCAGCACTGTCTATGAATTTCTCATATGACAGCTTTTTATTTTTGGGAAATAGTTTATCAGTTTATGCTAAAAGGAAAAAAATCTGGAGGCATTAGTCAAAACAAAACAGCAAATTTATACATATCTGAAATAAACATATTAGAAAAACCAAAAACTACATTTGCGCGTATGATGTCTCCACCTTTTCATGGTTGCCAAATCTCTTACAGGGCAGGGACATACAGATGGACAACAGGTAAATGAAAAAAAAAAAAAAACACAAAAACAAACTTATTGTCATTTATTATCAGGCAAATGTAAATCAAAACTGCAACCTTACACCCACACAACCTTCTTTCAATAAGGTCAACTTATTGGTTTTTCCAGGCTACTCCTGTTATATTCTTATTGTCCTACATAGTTAATACTTTTCCCTCTCATTCTCTCCATGAGTCAAACTTTCAAGAATAAATGTTATCTTCATTATAGTGCATATAGATTGTCACCTCCACCCCCAATACTCAGATTGCCTTAAAGAAGATACTTGCCATAATAGTCATAAAATGGAAGGATAATAATTACTGCTCCTGAAAATTTGCTTTTCTTGGGTGTCAAACTTTCAGTGAGCATCATCTCATTTCTTAATAAATGACTTAATTTATTTAAACTTTCCTGACTAATGTGCTTAAACTTTGCTGAATAACTGCTCCTTCCTAGTACACCCAGGCAGGAGTACATTGGCATATATTGTAGGGTGCCTGTGTCACAATTTTCTTTCTTATCACATAGAGTCAATATAGGATCCCAACATAGATTTGGAAAATACTAACTTAAAAGAGAAACTTTAAGTAGACTGAGATAATAAGAAATATATTCAGATGACTTTTGTTTCCCTCTAATTTACTAGTATGTGACTTTCACTTTGTGGAACCTAGTTTGAGTCAAACAGATTCCATCTTATCTCAAAGTTTGTCATGTTGAGACTTCTAGATGAAAAGTAAGCAGCCTATGCTCAGTGAAATAAGTAAGAAGAAAAAAAAAAGAAAAGTATTGGATGGTTTCACGTATAGGAGGAATATAGGGGAACCAAATAATAAATTAAATTAAAAAAAATAAGCAGCCTACCTCAGCAGCCCTATTGAACTACCTATCAGTTATTTTAAAAGAATAGCCACCCGTTCTCTCCTTATTGGTGATTAGGAAAGAAACATGAAGGCTATCTGGTGATTGTTGCCAAAAAAATCATACAACAGTTTGTATTAATATTCCTGTCAGCCAATCCAAAAGTTTCAAACAAATGACCCAAGTGTAGACCACCTCTCTGATTGCTTTAAAACTCCCTTTGCCCTAACCTTGGTGAGACATTCTCTGGGACTACTGTTTGACTGTAGACGCAAATCATAATTGCTACCCTGTCATAAATGTTTTCTTGATTATATTAGTTTGGTTATTTCTCAGTCAACAGAGTGATTTCATACAATTTAGTCTATTCGGCAATAGTATTTTTTTTCTATTTTTATTTATGTATTTATTTATTATATAATTCTTACATCATTTTTCATTTTTGCACAATGTATGCATCTTCATATTGGCTATATTTCCCATACAATTGCACCCCCCTTATTTTGACCCCAATCCCTCCTCACCTCCACCCTCATAGTGTGTCTCTGGTTTATAGTTGCTTGTTGATTTTGATAGCTGTATGGAGATTCCTCAACCTACTAAAGATAGAGCTTCCATATGATCCAGCAATCCCACTCCTAGGTATTTACCCAAAGGACACAGAAACAGTAATTCCAAAGGGAACCTGCATGCCTATGTTTATAGCAGCACTATTTACAGTAGCTAAGCTTTGGAAACAACCCAAATGCCCAAAAATAGATGACTGGATTCAAGAAGATGTGGTACATAGACACAATGGTATATTACTCAGCATATCAAAAAAGATAAACTCATGCAATTTGCAGCAACATGGATGGAGCTGGATGGGATCATGCTCAGCGAAATAAGCCAGAAAGAAAAAGAAAAATACCGGATGGTCTCACTCATAACAGGAACTTAGAAAATCTAAATAAGGGACCAGGAAAAAGAATAACTATAATAGTATTTTTTAAGTAAGACCTTGAATTCAGTTTAAAGTTATTCATTGTGATAAACCTAATATCTATGAAATGAATCAGAGAAATTAATTTTCATTAGGTGAATTTAGTACTCGTGAGCCTATCCTGATTTGAATGAGTGTTTTATTAAAAGAAAGTTTATAGACTTAGGATAAGTTTATGGCATTCTCATTTTGAGAGTACTCAAAGAGTCACTGGCACCTGAAATTCCATGCTTAGTGAAACATTCTTTTGTCAATGCACAAAAACAATTCTGATCAACATATGTGTGCCACTTAATATTTTATTTCAGAAAAATAAAAATAAACATTGCTCATCCTTAAACATTGAGTTTTTGTGTGACAACCTTGATTGTTGGTTATGAAAAATCACCCACCTGCATCCTGTTTGACTGTGACCAGTGGACTCACCATTAGACAGCTGACCACACACTAAACATCCATTTTTCCCAAGACAAGAGTATTTCCATTTTATTTGATCTGCCTTTCTCACACATTTATATAACTGCCTTATGCTATTTACATTTGCTTTTGGATATCCTGCTTAAGGATTAATTTTTAGATAAACCTGTTTCCCAGTAAGGGCTTACTATAAAAAAGGATGAATGATGAAAACTCAGTTTATTGACTACCAGATCAATTTATTTTCATTTAGGTGGAGGGGAAAATGCGTGGGTCTAAAGAACTGATGGTCTCATATGAGGGAATGTCTTCCATGGATATCAGAGGTCCAAATCAGAAACTGTATCAATGACTCCAGTACTGGGAGAAGATTATTGGTGAATGTGGGAGGGGAGCTCAGTTGAGTCTTAATACATTTTAGATATGGCTAGCTGAAAAGGTGTCATTTGTTGTTCAATGTATATCACTACCAAAGATACTGATATATCATTTGTGAAAAGGTCATATACCCAGACAGTACAAGACTTTCTCAAATCAAGTGCTAACAGGCATTATACTCCCAATCTACACATTCCAATCCCAAAATTCCTACATTATAGAATTCTAACATAGTAATTATAAAATTATTTTTTCTCCCATTTTGATATTAAAGATGTTGATTAATAAATAAAAATAGTGAGGGGACATCTTTTTTAAAATAACTGTTTTTAGGGAATGAGTTTCCCCTCAATATGAGGCTATACCTTAATAAAAATGATGCATATAAATATCTATCATATATATGGTTATCATTTGTTGAGCACATTGTTTTATTAAACATTTACTTTTTTTATTTTTAGTAGACAAATTAAGCATAATTTATCTTCTATCAGAAAAAAAAAGCGAGGATCTTATATTTGGTACCCAATAATCAATTGAAATGATGACAGGAGTTAGAAGGCATTCTATTCATTCATAAATTAGAATTTTCTCAGCACATTTCTCAGGGTTGACCTGAACACGTTACCTTTGTTGCAGCATCAAAGCAAATAAATCCTGTGCTAAAGTCAATCGTGAGTCCCATTAGATGACTTTCTAGCACACATGCATACGTCTTGCACTAGACAGAACAGAAAACACTGTTACTTTTCATCTGATTGACCCAATATCAGTACTATTAGTCAACATTTATCAGACTGTAAGATGGCTCCTGTAATAAGTTCTTTATAGTTTACCAACTCAGAATCAGCAATAATTGCATAAGAAATATATTATTATCAGCATGTTATTATTAATAAATAGAAACTATGTGGTTTTTGACTTGCAAAGGGATATGCATGGCCAAGCTTTAAACCCTATTCTGTCTGACTTAGTCTTGATTCTGGCCACACTGCTCCTTTTGGTAATACTGGCAACAGAACTGCTATAAATTTTTTAGGACTGAGAAAGAGTGAATTTGTCATATTCTGTAGCTAAATATCACTGCATTTTCATTAAACCAAAAAAGTAAATTATTAAGCCTTGTGCTATTACTTAAATTCTTGATAATTTTAATATGTTAAAAAATAACTCTTCAGGTATACCAACAGATGCAGTAATCAAGGTAAAAAAACACAAGAAACATCTTGACATTAAATGCCTCTATGTGTTCATCTGTGTGGCACAAGCAATTCACAAATAAATTTACCACTTGCCTGGTATTTGTGTAAAATTATTGATTCTTCAAAAATTAATAATTAACAAAAGACTACATTATAAATTCATATAAATATTTTAGGAAGACTAATTAAAGATAATGAAATATAAGAATAACAAATATGAAATAAAAATGGGGTTTATATGCAGGATGATGTGTTTTATGTTTATAAGCACATTTTATTTACATTTTAATTGTGAACTTCAGTGGAATAGTCAAGAGATGAAAAATACTTTGCAATTTACATACAAAGAGAGAGAGAAAAATACCTATAGCAAACAAAGTTTCAATACAAATCCTTATATTTACTTTTAGAACACTGCATATAAAAGTAACTTAGAGAGTCACATTTTCACTATGATGATTGCTAAGTCATTGTTACTTGTTCAAAAGCCACACGTACGTATTTAAACCCAATAAGCATAGGAAATTTAAAATCCTGATAATTTATTCATTTGCATTTATTTTTTTCAATAAAACAAATTAGAAAACATATTTAATGGAATTAATTAGTTCATTTTGGGGTACACTTTAATTGGTAAATAAACAGATAGCTTTCATGTTTGCATCCACCTATTGAATTTTTTATTAAAGTTTTGATCATCACTAAGGAATGTTCAAGGCTATTTGATTTCCTCCACTCTTTTTTTTTTTTTTTAAAGATTTATGTATTCCTGTATACAAGAACTGGGATACAGGCCAGATGTGTGGGAGGGTGAGAAGATTCACCAGAGACAGAGCGGGGAACAGAACAGGCAGACTGACGAAACACACTGCTGAGGGGAGCAGCAGGAGAGAGAGGAGAGGTCTGCTGTGCTATGTGAGTATCTCCTGCCAGGATCGAACTGCTGTGCAGAGGCTGCAGACAGCTTCACAGCATCCTGCACTCAACCGCCTGTGCCACCAGGGAGGCCCTGATTTTTTCCACTCTTGACCCACTTGCTATTTTCAAGTACTGTCACTTATGTCAGACAAAACACTTTATGAATAACAGCCCTTGAAGTTTCTTGAAGTGTGATTGGGATGTAACTTCACAAAAAAGAAAGAAAACACAATAAATATTGACTACTTGTGATGTACAAAAGACACTATACTTCAGTTGATAGAAAAGTAAAGTATCGCAAGTAATTTTGTAGCTTAGTATAGGGAATGAGAAGCACACATCATTTTAATGCAAGACAGAATGTGAGCAGATCTAAAACAAAAAGTGATAATAGTGTTCAAAATAAATAAACTTAAAAAGGATTGTTGCAGTGGTGATAATGAGTGCATAGAACGGACTAGAAATTAGGATAATCTTTATGATGACATAACCTTTGAAAACACGTCCAAATTCCATGTGTGCTTTCGATGAGTAGAGATGGGGGGAAATACTTTATACCATCAAAGAATACAGTGAGTGCAGCAATTCAGAAAAATTATCAGTTGGTGGTGATTGGAGAACAGGAAATTGCCTTATAAACAATTAATTGATATCAGGGCATTTTCATTCTTAGATTTAAATTTCAGGAGATTTTAATTAAAATTAGAAAGAAATTTTTGATGAATGATTGGAAATAGCCTAAAAATAACAAATTGGGGTCTCCCTAGTAGCTCAGGGGTTAAGTCCCAGCACCATCAAGATATAGCAACCCACTGTGGCCTGATTTCCATCCGAGCCATGGAGCTAACCCACATATGATTCAGCAGACCTCTCCTGTTTCACTGCAGCTCCCCTTAGCAGTGTATTTCAATAGATCCATCTGGTCTGCTCCCCACTCTGTCTCTGGCAAGTTCTCTCACCCCCCCACATCTTGGCCTACACCCCAGTTCTTGTATGCATAAATAAATAAAAGTCTTTAAAAAAAAGATCAAATTGTAGAAAAAAATAAATTATTTTTGACATGGATTAATGTTAATATAATTTAATAATGATGATTAATTATTCAATGTAATTGAGAAGGCAGTTAAGATTCAGAGAAATAAATTTTATGCTAATTTGAATTTATGTTAAATTATATGGGAATATTCAAATATCTTTGGGAATCACATATCCTAAAATTGCACAGACTCTCACCTGTATCCGCTCCACTTCTAGAAAAGTTGCTGTTTGGAAGGCTCTTTCCCATTGGGCAAGGTCGCATTCTAATTCCACAGAGAAGTATAGATCCTCCCCAGACTCAGACTGCACAGTGAAACAGTGTTTCCGCTGGTCCAACAGATCACTGTCCTGATGAAAACCTGGAGTTACACAGGCTTGCATACATCAATTCATATTGTAAACATGGTATACCTTGAATTAGTGTTGAATAATGCAAAGTGAAGCTGACAGTCATAAAGATCACAGTCTGTGGTGTCATTAAATCTTCATTAAAAATGGCCACAACATTCCAACTTACAGCCTCAAAGTCCATAACTAACATATAAAGCATCTCCATTAAAGTTAGGATTTCTCTCTTGAGCTCTTAGTAGCAACATAACTGCCAAAGCACTAAACATGAGCTCTACTTCCTTACTGCACAAAAAGATAATACACATACCCTCTTCTTTACAGGGCCCTGTCAAGAAGATTAAATAGTACTTATTTATTAGTGTTTTGGAAAATTTTAAGAGATTTGTAAGTTATATATATATATATATAACTTATATAATATATATATATATATATATATTATTGAGTTGATTTCATTAACCCAAAAAGCATCAAGAAAATATTCTGAGAAAAGGGAAAATATAGTGTCTAAGTTGTCTACAGGCATTTTGGTGTTTTTTTTTTTTTATCACATTTACCTAATTTATGAAATTGCATTTCATTCAGTCAAAAAGATTTTGATACAGAAATTTCTTGGTCTTGCCTGTTTTCATCTAGTGTTCTCACATATTCATATGTATTCCATTTTCAGGGATGTTAAAAATAATCAAAAGCAACTAAGGATTAAATAAATAGGCTAATATCATGCACTAAATGCTATAAACCTTTGCATAGTATGTTCAGTGTTCTGAAAATTGTTAAAAATTAATCCTCACATCTTTAGTTATTTCTTCTATAGGCTATTATAAAGGCTTCATCATTAAACATCAAAAATGTTAGCAGGAATTTTCTATTTTGGCAAGTATTTAAAAATAGTAACCATTTAATTAAAAAATCCAATTTGTCTTTTTCTTATTTGAATGCTTAAAATTACTAACGGTGAATTATAGAAAAGCAGTTACTTTAAGTGCTGTAGAAATTAGCTTTGGCACATGCTGCTACTAGATGGTTAGAAAGCTGAAAAGAAGATATGGTTATTTTTGCTTTTCCTGTTCTGTCTTCATGGAAAAACGAAATCATGTTTATGAAAATACAGCCCTATGATAAGAAAAAAATTAAAGTACTTTTAGTAATTGGATCTTAAAATGTCTAGGGAGAGTGACAGTGACTGATATTAAATAAATAACCACATAAGTAAATGTGCTAGCATAGATTAAGTAGTATTATCAAAAGTATAGTCATTTTTACACCAAAGCTGATCAGGAAGTCAACATTGTCTTCTCACAAGTACATTTTAAACAGTGATTGAATGATGAGTAGAGAATTACAAGTGGAAAGTGTTCTTTGCAGAGAGAGGGGAGGGGATTGGCAGAAGCCTGAAGCAAGAGTGTGAGATATATTCCAGAATTCCTAAGAAGAGGGAATGTTGAAAGCCATCTCTGGGAAAGGAGATGGATGCAGAACTGGTCATGAATTTTGCTCCTTACATAGGTAGTGACATTTATAACCTCAAACCTTTCACTAAAATCTCTATTCATTCTACAGATTTCTCAACTTCTCCATTAGTTATTTGAATTAATGACATTGGGACAAAAATAATAATTTTGAGAAAACCTCAAGTTTATCATTTATTAAAGTGGCTTTAACTTTCCTTGTAATATAAATTTATACTATGAAATGATCAATATCATTACTAGAAAATCTTTGATAGTTTTCCTTATCATAAATTGCATAATGCCATTGAACTTTGTTTTATTTTTTAAACATTTATTTATTTATGTATACAAGAACTGGGGTACAGGCCATAGGTGTGGGGGTGAGAGGATTCACCAGAGACAGAGTGGGGAACAGAACAGGCAGATTGACTGAAATATACTGCTGAGAGGAGCAGTAGGCAATTCAGGAGAGGTCTGCTGCGCCATGTGGGCCAGCTTCCTGGCCAGGGATCGAACTCTTGATTGCAGTGACTGTGGGTGGCTTATAGATTGCGTCTTAACCCCTTGTGCCAATAGGGAGACCCGCCGTTGAACTTTAAAAGGACTTTTACAGACAGTTTTTGTTTTCTTGTAAAAAACTTAACTCCTTCACTCTCAAGAACTCAATTTTGCATATCTGTTGCAAGCCTTGAGATATAGACAGCTGTCTAATAAACTGTGCAATTATAATTTCAAAATCTCACATTGCAGTCATTGTGATTGTTATTTCTGAAGCATTTCTCAAAACTGATTCACATAAAATACTTCAAAATGTGGTGAGAGAGACAAATATGTAAAAATTAAAGAAAAACATTGTGAAACAGAATAAGGGGCAATGAATCATTTGGAGGAAATTCAAAGAAGAAAGTTATGAACTCAGAGACACATGAAAGAGCCACCAGTCCCCAATCTGAATGAATCTAGGTGATCCTGCTACGGAATTCAGACAATTGTACTTTCTATAGAAAACCACTGGAGCATTTGATATAGAAAAGCGGCTGTCTATGCTGCTTTAGAGAAAGACAGATGAGTGAACACATGGAAAAGTTATGTTGGCTCAAGTTTTCTGATTTAGTGAAAATTGACTCTATACCAAATATTCTAAGGATCTCCTTTGAAAGTCACGCACACACAAAAACACACACACGTATGAATAACCTCTCTCTTTTTCTTTCTCATATTCATGTGCTGTAGTGAAGGGATAATACTACAGGTTGCATATTAGCATTTCGCATATTAGCATTTTCATTTATTAGAATGTGTTGATGAAATACCATGTATACATTTTATACATTTTATTATAGCTTCTGATACTAAGTAGCTGGTAATGAATGTTAGAAATTTCTATTATTAATGTTCATATTCAATGAAATAATTGCATGTATCATTTCCTAATTTTTTTTCTTTCTTTTTTCCCTCCATACAAGTTTGTTCATTTTTTGTCAGAGTCCCAGGGAAAGTTGGGTCCCAGGAAAAACCACAGCCTCCAAAATAAGTTTTATTCATTGAAAATCATCATTTAATGATCACAATAAAATAGTAGCGAAACATATCTTACACACTACTGTTGTGGATTTTCTCCATTTAAGACTTCTACTTCAGATGTAACCTGTGGTTTTTGATATTTTTTCCAAGTCTCCAGGACATTTTCTGCTAACTAATAGCCCAATGCTCTCCTTCCCATAAAGAATCTCAGGGAATGCATGGGGGTGCGTGTTTCCAATGAGATTAGATTTTTCCTATTCTTTGCATAAAGATTTAGGAGTGGAACTGCTTTGTCATATGGCAGATATATTTTTGATCTTTTGAAAAACATCCATACTGTTGTCTATAAGTGCAGGAGCTGTCTACACACCCACCAACAGGGTCCTTTTTCTCCATATTTTCCAGGACTTGTCACTTCTGTATTTTTTTTTTTTCTTCAGTCATTCTCAAAGTGTGAGGCGGTATCTCATCATTGTTTGGATTTACATTTCCCTAATGATAAGTGATGGTGAACATATTCCCATGTGCCTGTGTACAGTCTGTATGTCTTCTTTGGAAAAGTGTCTGTTTAGTTTTTCAGCCAGTTTTGATTGGGCTAGTTGTTTTGATTTCATCGAGTCGCAGGATTTTTTTTTATATGTCTTTGATTTGAGTCCCTTGTTAGATATGGTATGCAAATATTTTATTTTTCTTTTTTGAAAAGTTTTATTTATTTATTTACACAAGAACGGATACAGGTCAAATTCACCAGAGAGTGAGAGGATTCACCAGAGACAGAGCAGGGAACAGAACAGGCAGACTGAAGAAATACACTGCTGAGGGGAGCAGCAGGATCAACAGGAGAGGTCTGCTCGCTATGTGGGACCCTCACCAGCGGGCTGGGATCGAACCGGTGCTGCAGAGGCTGCGGGCAGCTTCACAGCACGGTGCTCAACGGCCTGCGTCACCAGGGGAGGCCCACAAATATTTTCTTCCATTCAGTAAAATGTCTTTTCATTTTAATTGTGAATTCTTTTGTTGTGCAGAAGCTTTTTAGTTTGATGTAGTTCCAATTGCTTACGTTCTGTTTGTTTTCCTCGTTGTTGAGGAAGAATCCCTAAAGACACAACTAAATGTTATGTGATGAAATGTTTTGCCAATGTTTTCTTCTGTGCTTTTTATGATTTCACTTCCTACATCCAAGTTTTTTATCCAATTTAAGTTAAATTTTGCATGAGATAGTGGTCTAATTTCATTCCTTTGCACATAATTTTCCAGTTTCCCAACATTTTTTTATTGAAGTTTTTATTTTCTCCAGTATATATTCTTCACACCTCTGTCAGATTTTAAATGTCCACATAGATGAGGTTTTATCCTGGGCTACAAATTCTATTTCATTGGTCTGTGTATCTGTTTTTGTTCCAATGACATGTTTTTTTTATTTAATTTATTCATTTATGCATATGAGAACTGGGGTATAGGCCAGAGGTGCAGGGTTGTGGGGGTGCAGATGTGCAGGGTGAGAGGATTCACCAGAGACAGAGTGGGGAGAAGAACAGGCAGGAAGACTGAAATACACAGCTGAGGGGAGCTGAGGGTGAGACAGGAGAGATTTGCTGAGCCATGTGGGTTGGCAAGGGATGGGACTAATGCTGCAGTGGCTATGGATAGCTTCATAGTGCCAAGACTTAACCCTTGTGGCACCATGGAGGCCCAAGATTCTTAATTTTATAGGTAAATGCTTTAAAATACAATCACCAGCCACAGGATTTTATGATCATTGGCACTGGAGTGCATATTCTAAGATTAGAATTCTTAGGTTCAGTATTTAGAGGGGGCACAGAAAGTGATTTAAATAAAGTAGATGTGGGCCTCCCCTGTTGGTGCAGCGGTTGAGCACTGGGTTGCAAAGCTGCCCACAGCCTCTGTAGTGCAGGTTCTATCCCTGGCCGCCAGGTTCTATCCCACATGGTATGCAGACCTCTCCTGCTGTGCCTGCTGCTCCCCTCAGCAGTGTACTTCGTCAGTCTGCCTGTTTTG